ATTATCACCTAATGGCATGAATGATGAAGCTTTATTTAATGTGATGTTATAATGCAATCTGGGCCTGATGTACGTGCTAGTATGTATGTACAGGATATGTTTATGTGTATATATATGTACATGAAAGTTTTTTTTTTTTTTTGAAGTTGATGATGTACCTATTGCGGGTTGTTATTAATCAATGGATCTTTACAGCGATTGGTCATGAATTCATGAATCTGTTTTTAAATGGGGTGTACTTTGTGATGTCATGTTTAAAAAATTCCTGATGAAGGTCATGCGACCGAAACGTAGTCAATACATATTTTGATATTTTTTGCATAGATAGTGTGCGGGATTCATTTTTTGCTTTTTTGATTTATTTGAATGAAATAAATCTGATGAAAGCTGCATGAGAGTAAGGACATTGGTAAAACAGTCCATGTGACATCAGCAGTTCAACTGTAATTTTATGAAGCTATGAGAATACTTTCTGGGTGCAAAGAAAACAAAAATAATTACTTTATTCAACAATTCTTCTCCCCCACATCACTATCTTCCGTCATTATCAAGAGTACCACGACACATGCATGTGCATTCCTTTGCTAGTAAACAAGGTGCAGCGCTTGCGTGATGTTGTACATCAGCAGCACCACTCACATGCGTCATGGTATACTCTCGGTTGAACGTGGTACGGTTGAACCACTGATGTCACGTGGACTATTTTACCAATGTCCTTACTATGTTTCTGAGTCTGGGAACATTTCAGTTACATTGCTGTCTATGGAGTGTCAGAAAGTTCTCAGATTTAATAAAAAATAGCTTAATTTGTGTTCCAAAGATGAACGAAGGTCTTACAAGTTTGGAACAACAAGAGGGTGAGTAATTAATGACAGAATTTTCATTTTTGGGTGAACTATCCCTTTAATGAAAACAAAAATATGTGTGTGCTGCAACCAGATTTCATAATCGGTTAGGATTTTAAAACTCTTGTAGTGTGAGCCCGGCTTTAGGCTGTGGCTGAAGTCAGTTGTAGTTCTTGTGTTTGTCTTGTTTCTCTTTCCATCAGTGAATCTGCTAGTTAACAGCAGCTGTTCATCATTGGCTGAATTCACTCATTAGTTTTCATGCTCTCTGTCAGGTGGACTGTATTAGTAAACTCATGAAGAAATAGTGAATGAGGGTGTAGGATGTGATTTGAAACAGCCTCTGAGTGTCGACTTTGAACGCTGTTTATTCACGATATATAGCAGCAGGCTACTTTCTTGAAAATGACAAATATTACCCAGAATGCAGAATGTTTTAATGGAAAACAGCATGTTACGGTCAAAATTTGGTCGTTTTTTTACAGCATTTTTTTAAGTGCACCATTATTGTGATCAGCGTTTACTTTAGTTGGGATCTTGACTCTTTGCACTTTAATGTTAAGTTTTTATTGTTGCTTGTAATAATGTGCTAAAATGCATTTGTTGAGGCAATGAAAACTAAGATCTGTTGGGTGATGGTGACTACAGTTATTGTGAGGTTATTTAGATAATTGTTCACAAATGAGTTACGTCTTTAATGTGTAATACTACGGTGTGAGATTAAAGCAGTGGGACAGCTAACATAATTCTATGAATTAACAGAAAATATTTTTAAGAAACTCGTTAAATTGCTGAATCAATTACAGGATGCCACCATATTTGTGGTCAGTGTTTGCTTTAGGTAGTCTCTTGACCCTTTTACTAATTCAAAGTAATTTCCTTCAACGCGATTGCAGTGTTGTTTCATAGCAAACATTTGTGCATTGGTGAATCAAACCTGGAAATACTAAATAGCTCATAATGGTCAAACATACAGAAAGTTTTTTTGGTTTACTTACAGATGTTCAGCTATTACTGAACTGAAGAAAAAAAAATTCCTACTAAACAAATGCCACTAATAAGAAAACTGTGTCAGGTCAGGATTTTAGACACAGTGGTGACAATACTTTTTAATACTTTAGTGCATGATGGGAGTTTTTAACTATGGTGTTGCCCAGCATGCATCTTACTATTTGCTTTTATTTTTGTTGTGACTTTTTACTGCCTTGTTTTGTGACTTTCAGAAATCATATCAAAATTCTTAGAAAATGTTGTCACCATTGCTGAGATTCACATGCTGATTCTTCATGTCTATGAGCACCAGGATTTGAAACTTTTATAATCCATGTTTTTAAAAGTGATTTATGAAGTATATTCGCGTTGTCAATTCATATCATAGAGCTGTAATAATAGAAGTCATAAAAGCACTACAGATTTAGATACATTGCAATCTGAGACTCATACATATGAAATTATTTTATCATAAGTACGTCACCATCACATATGTGCTTTATAAACACTATTGTAACAGCCAAATATTAACTTATTTTTAAGAAGTAAAGGGTCAAGAGGCAACTAAAGCAAACACTGTTCCCCAAAACTATAAGTTGAAAAGAAAAGAAAATCTAAACTGTAATTCTCAATACAGATCTTCTGTTTTAGATACTCTAGAAATAAAGTCTAACTGGTTAATCACAGAATTATCTCATTAACTTTAACACTGCTTCAGTGTTACTTTAACACTCTTTTAGAGTGGGACCATATATGCTCCGAGCAGTGTTCATTTAAAACTCAGGATTTTACTGTGTACAAAATGCTATTGTGTGACTTCAGAAGACTCAGAATATAGTCATATGGACTAAATTATGTAGCTTCTTTGTCATTTTGGAGCTTGCCGCAAAGAATATCTTGCATAGTGTTTTCTGTGTCACCATTTATTTTTGATAGAAGGAAATACACAAAAATCTATGATTCTATGACAGACCTTTAACATCCTTGGAATGTGTATATTACACAAAAGTTTCTTCATAGTGGAAAAGGTTTTTAAAATGTTTTAACAATAAGAAAAATATATATTTTTTTTTAGAACTGTTAATTGAAAAACTCATCAGGGAACCAAAAATGGTTCTTCAATGGCATTGCTGTGAAAACCCCTTTTTGCAACATTTATTTTTAAGAATAAAAGATTTAAAATGAGATGAGGGTGAGAAAATTGTCAGAATTTATATTTATAGGTCAACTCTCCAGTTAAGGGTTGACTTTTCTTCGGTAAATAGTCTTGAGTACGGAAGAGGAATAGGGCCAAGCAATAATACAAAAATAAAACCATCTCGAGATTAAAGTCATTAAATTTTGATTTTTTTTTTTTTAAATTTCAAGAAAAAATTGAAATAAAATATTGAGAATAAACTCATTAAATTACGAGAAAAAAGTCGAGATACAATGTTGAGAATAAACTCATTAAATTACGAGAAAAAAGTAGTTAAATTCAAGAACAACTCTTTAAATTTCGAGAAAAAAAAAGTCGAAATAAAATGTTGAGAATAAACTCATTGAATTTTGAGAAAAAAGTCGAGAATTACCACACTCGTGTCATGTTCATTTCATCTCGTTGGACACTGTTGTTCAGTGTCTGCAGTGGGGTGGATTGGAGAGCAACCCACTGGAGAATAGCGTATGATACAATCGACTGGGTTCGAGTCTGTCTTTTGCCAAATTCGCTTTTCTTCCTTTTCTCATCAAATATCACATCGGAAAAGTGGAAATCAATTGCTTAACGAGTGTTTAATATTAATGTATTAATTAGGGGTAGGCAGGCTATAGGGAAGGCTTTGTTGTCCCAACAAGGCAGCATCTATTTAATAATTTCAATAAATAAAATCGTTGTTATTAAGATCAATGTTATTATTGCATCATGTTAATGTACAACAATACTAAGGTGCAAATAGTATCTGCCACTATTTATGAGTATAAATAGCATCTAATTAGCTACTATTTACACTTATTGCAAAGATCTGCTGCTTTTACATAACGTAAATAGAATGGCTATTTTCAATTAGTGTAAATAGCACATATCTAAAATGCTGCTGTTGTCACTTAGTGTAAGTAGTACATATAACTATTTTCATTGTAAATAGCAACTGGCAGGGGTGTCCAAAGTCCGGCCACGGTCCAAATACGGCCCGTGGATCAATTTCAAACGGCCCACAGCATGTCTATTGAAATGTAGGCTATTATATGTGGCCCGCCAATCATAATTTACAAATCATGCAGTTTCACAATGTCAACACAAGGTAACAGCACTCAATTTTAGGCCAGATGTATTAGTAAAACGTGAGTGACAACAATTTGATAACTCATATGCACCGGAAGCGGAAGAGCGCCACTCGTGTGAAATGCGCTGCACGGATCATTATTATTTCTGCCTAAAGACAGCGCAGACGTGAGCTCAGAACAAATGCGTTTACTCGCAGATCTCAATAAGGCAACCACTGAACAGTGCTGTGAGATGCGTTCGAGTTTGGAGCATAGCTCTTCTATATAAAACAACGGTCACAGTGATTTAAACTAGTTTAAAGGCAGATGAAACCGCGCTGCCATTCTCGACAACACTGACGCGGAAAACAGTAGAAACACTGTGACAACATTGCAGTTAGAATACTTTTCAATCCACAAATTAATATTTACAATGGATTTACTGTAGTAATATTAAACCTACCTAATTAATACATTATTTTTTAAATACTCGTTAAGCAATTTATTTCCAATGTGATATTTGATGAGAAAAGGAAGAAAAGCGAGTTTGGCAAAAGATGGATTCGAACCCAGTCGATCATATCATACGCTACCCCCCAGTGCATTACTCTGCGTTACTATTCTTTTCTCGAAACATGACATCATTCTTGAAATTTAATGAGTTTAATCTCAACATTTTATCCTGACTTTTTTCTTGAAATTTAACATGTTTTTTCTCAAAATTTAATCTCGAGATGGTTTTATTTTTTTATTATTGCTTGGCCCTAATCCTCTTCCGTATTTGAGAGCTGTGGCTGACAGTGTTTTTTTTTTGGAAAACACCACTTTGTTGTGACCTTCTTCCACTCCATCTCTTCATGCTGCATTTTTGCATGCAAGAAAACCACAGCTATGTATGTGGTTTCAACTCTAAATATCTTTTCAATCTTGCAAATGGGTAATGCTCGTTTTGCTTGGTTGCTCAATCTTTACAGATTGCTGGTCCTGCTGCACGCGTTTGTAAGAGCGGTAAACATGATAGGCGATGGAGGTGTAGCAAAACACCATCAGCAGGAACGCCACCCAGAAGATTCCAACGTTGAAGTGGGCTGACATTTCGTGCCAGTGCTGACCCAGGTCACTCTTCAGGGCCATGCAGGAGAAAGCCTTAGGCATGGGCTGGTTGGATAATATGGCATTCGGCAGCATGAAGAACATCATGATGCCCCAAGTTAGCAGTGCGAGACCCTTTGCTACCGAAACACGCTGCAGAAAAGAAGACACTTCGGAGGTACTGCACACGATTTTTAAGTAGCGTTCCAAGCTGATGAGGCTCATGAAGGTTATTCCTGTGTACATGCTGAGGTAGAAAAGCACAGCTGTGTAGCGGCAAACTATCAGCTTCAACTGCAAGCCGCCGTAACCGAGGTTGCCCACTACACGCCACGGGTAGGTAAACAACATCAGAACGTCTGCCACCACCATGTTTTTTAGGTAAACTATTAAGGCTGAGGAGGTGGGAACCCTGACGAAGATCCAAGCAGTGAGTCCATTGAGAATGAAGGCACAAGCGCAGATGATGGTGTAGAGCACAGGCAGAACCTGATGTGTGAACACGCTGCTGACGTTCGTGCTGTTTTTTGGTTCCGTCTGTGTAGTGTTGATGTAGTCCATATCTAAAACAGAAAAAGAAAGAACTTCTTTAGCTTTGATGATATCAGGAAATATTGTGACATGATTCAATGTTGTAACTTCTGCTAGACTTTTTTTTTTGTGCTTATGTTTAAAAATTAAAAGTGTCATTTATACCACTTTCATGAATATTCTAAATCTGTGTATAGTCCTTGCAATTTTTATGCTTTTGTTTCTACTTCAGATTCTCTCTGACGAAACTCTGACAATACAAATCTTGTGAAAAAATCCACATTAGCATACTTTAAAAAAAATTTTATACTTTAGAAAGAATATACTTCAGTGTGAATTGAATGTAATGTTTTCAGACTCACAAATATATGAAAATTACAATTATTTAGTACTTTAATACATCTTTATATGTAATTTCATAATTGCTTCTGTTGTCTAAAATATTGTAAAGTGTACTATATCAAGTGTACTGACAGGCTTTTATGGTAAACTAGAATAGAAATTAGATCAAAGTATGAGTCATGTATTTAAATATATTTTTAATTAATATACACATATATACATTTATAAGGTTTAAAGTTGCAGTTAGTACTTTTTCAAATAAATGAACTTTAAATGTAGTATAGAATAACACACTACAGTGAAAATTGTTGATTTTGAATCAATATCACTGTTGCACCCGCAATTAATGTTCAATGTTAAAATGTTCAACAAACCACCATTATTGAGATCAGTGTTTGCTTTTGTTGGGCTCTTGACACTTGATTTTCATTGTTAATTTTCTTTAAATACAATGGTGTTTCAATCTAAAACCTTGTGTATTAATAAAGATAAAGATGTTTTAAAGTTAAGTTGGAGTGAATAAATTACTTTTTGTGATGGGTGACAAGCTGTAAGAAAGTAGAGAAATAATGCTAAGTAAGGTTGAAGTTGATCTCTCATTACTGATGCAAATCTTAATTTTTTCTTTGTGATTTGCGGCAGTTTAGACGCTTCAAAGGCGTATTGCTGATGCAAATGTTCCGTTTCATAAAATTAAGGATACACTCATCATGCAAACCTCAACAAAGGTGACAATCATCGAACTAATTCAGTTGATAAACAGATCAACTGCAATGCATGCTGGGAGTCATGAATGAGTTTTCTACTATGTTGATACCCAGTATGCATTTCAGCATAAAGTTTTATTTTGTTGCTTGTCACCATTGTTGAGTTTCATACATTGATTGTTGATGTCTAATTGGTTCAGCAATATAATTAGTTTTTTTTATTTTTTGGAGCTCTTCTTTAATTTTTAAAAGTATAACAGCCATACCACTGGTTTAATCTTACACTGTAGTGTCATGCATTATTCACACAAAAATAACACAACACACTTGTGAGCATTTGATTACTGTCAGCATCACCTGATTAATTGTTAGGTCAACTTTAAAACACATGTAATCACCTTATTTGTTTTATACCAATGCTATCTGTAAGGTATAAATGCGTTTGGGTGCATAAATGCCTGTAAGAACATCGGATGGACTGTATCAGTGTCATTTTGTTAGGTTAATGATTCAAGCTACAGATGATGTGTTGCGCAGTTGTTAATTGGGTTTCTTTCTTTAGTAATGGCATTCATTCTCGCTACATAAGATACCTGTCTGTTATGTAGTGCCCTGTTATACTGCATTACTGTGTAATATTTATGGTTTCTATAGCCGTGGCATCATTATGATGGTATGAAGAGATGGATTAATTCATGTAGGACGCCACTGAAGGCCTAGGTGTAAAATGCACGGCCCGCCACTGCTACTAATGGATATTATTAATCAGAATTCAAAATCAGAATTAGCTTTATTCGCCAGGTGTGCGCAAACACACGAGGATTTTTTTTTTTTTGGAGGGATTTTTTTTTTGTTATCAGGTGCTCCTGGTACATACATGCATACACATCTGACATGAGAACAGAAAAAAAAAAACATTTAAATAGTAAGACTTAACAATAAATAATGTGTATTAATCTGAAACAGTATATTTATGTAGAGATTTGTGCATTATTTACTCTATATACAGTTGTATAAATAAAGAGATGCGTTTTTATTTGCATAATACTTGAGAAAGAGGCAATAATAAAAGACGTAGAATGAATTACAGAAATGAATTACAGAACACAGGTAATGATTCATGTGCTAGCTGTTTAAGCTGGAGATGGCATGGGGGAAAAACTGTTTTTATACCTAGATGTTCTAGTGCACAGAGATCTGTAGTGTCTGCCTGAAGGGAGAAGTGCAAACAGGTTGTGTCGGGGTGAGAGGGGTCTATGATGATGTTTCCTGCCCGTTTATCCACTCTGGAGTTGTACAAGTCCTGAAGGTTGGGCAGGTGGACACCAATGATCCTTTCTGCTGTCCTACTGTCTGTTGCAGTCTTCTTATATCTGATTTGCTGGCTGACCCAAACCAGACAGTTATAGAAGAACACAGAACCGACTCAATGACAGCTGAGTAAAACTGTGTCGTCTGTGCCTGTGGCAGGTTGAAAATTTTCAGCTGACGAAGGAAGTATAATCTATGCTGGGTCTTTTTCACAATGAAGTCAATGTGAATATCCCATTTCAGGTCCCGAGAGACGGTTGTGCCCAGGAATCTGAATGACTCCACTGCAGCCACAGTGCTGTCCATGATGGTGAGAAGAGGGAGCGTCATTCATTCATTTATTCATCTCAACAGTTTAGACCGTGTTCAGCTCCAGGTTGTTGTTATTGCACCAGACAGACAGCTGTTCAACCTCTTGCCTGTAAGCAGACTCGTCACCGTCCTGGATGAGGCTGATGACTGTGGTGTCATCTGCAAACTTCAGGAGTTTGACAGAGAGGTCTTTAGAGGTGCAATCATTTGTGTAGAGAGAGAAGAGCAGTGGGAAGAGAATGCAGCCCTGAGAAGCTCCGGTGTGGGTGTTGGATGTGAGTGTTCCCAGCCTCACTAGCTGCTGCCTGTCTGTGAGAAAGCTGGTGATCCACTGACAGATAGAGCTAGGAACAGAGAGCTGGGTTAGTTTGGTCCTGAGGAGTGTTGGGATGATGGTGTTGAAAGCGGAGCTAAAGTCCATAAACAAGATCCTTGCATAAGTCCCTGATTTGTCCAGATGTTGGAGGACGTAGTGCAATCCCACATTGACTGCATCATCCACAGACCTATTTGCTCGGTAAGAAAACGGCTCAGAGAAATTTATCTAAAACTGTACTGCTTTTATGCTTCCTATATTGTTGCAGTTATATGCGATAACCTTCTTAAATGACTTTTATAAATGTGGTTCATAAGGAGGTTTCAATTCTGTCACTCATAGACATGAAGAATCAGCATGTGAATCTCAGCAATGGTGACAAAATATTCAGCTAATTTTTGTGATTTTTGAAGGTCACAAAACAAGGCAGTAAAAAGTCACAACAAAAAATAACAAAAATAAAAGCAAATAGTAAAAATAAAAGAAAATACTAAGACAATGCCGCTGCATAATTTATTCGTCACAATGCATGCTTGGAGCCATGGATGAGTTATGATTGGTGCACCCAGAATGCAATGCAACATGAATCTGTCTGATGATCATCACCATTGTTGAGATTCATATGCTGATTCTTGATGTCTGCGTGTCTAAACAGCACAGATGTTCTAAACTGGTGTGCAAAATGTTTTTAAAGCTCTTCCTATTATTTCATTAAAGTTCAGTTGTGATCAATAACAAACTATGTTACACATTACTACTGGTGACATCAGTGTACCTGCCTGCTACTTTGTCATAATAAAAAGGCCAATATAATCTGAACACATATTCTCTTGGATTTTCTTGCTGTAACAAATGTGTTTCATTAGCACAATTACAGCAACCAGATAAAAACTAATGTTAAAAAGTCAAGGGTCAAGAGCCCAACTAAAGCAAA